GGCTAGGCTGCCGCCGGGCAGGCGGGCAGCCGGGAAGAGGGCACTGGGCAGTGTCACTCCGGGCAGACCGTGTGTTTCGGGTCATTTCGGGTTGTTCCCGGGTTAACCCGAACCCGACCTGATTTTTCAAACGGGTCGGTTTTCAGAACCCGACCCGCTTCGGGTTCAGGTCAACCCAAACCCGAAATTTTCGGGTCGGGTCCAATATTGACAGGTCTAACCATTATTCTAGTGCCAGGCGCTCCAAAGAAAACAAATCTAGATTTCACAAATGTGCATCCCGACTCCCCCTGTATTATACTTCAAAATGCATGCAGACCCTTAAATGTGCACACATCAATCCCATACACATGCAAAGTGGTTTAGACGCAAAAATTCAAATCAAATTGCCTGACTTCAAGCCAGGTCAGAAAGATTTGAATAGTACTCTCATTCTGAATGTGTCACACCTCCATTTATAGTAATAAAAACAATCTTCATGGGCCATGATATAAAAAATACCCAACATAACATCCTAACATAAATGCATAATAACATCTAATACATAGTAACATAGAAGCCCAAAATACAATAGAATGACAAAATATAAAGGTAAAAAACATATTTATATGTGGAACATAAATACTAATGTTTTGTTTGGGACGGATTTTTTATTGTTTTTTAAAGCAGAGTTGTAGTACAAATTTTTTAATTTTTGTACTAAAACTTCGTTTTCAGAAGCAATAAAAAAACTGTCACAAACGAAACCTAAATCTTAGGATAACAACCACAATGGCAAAGCCATAAACTTTTTATAGCAGGGGTCTGAATTTATATTTTTTATTTTCTCAACTTTTTTCATATGGACTTTTAAACCAGCATAAGGAGTTTTATAAATTTATTTGAGATTTATTATTTTAAAAAGAAAAAAAAATGTTAAATATAAGATAATAAAAACATGGTATTAAATTTAGTGATATGAATTCATAATTTTGGGTCAGATGGAAGTTTTTTTAAATTTAGTTTTAGATTAATTAATGTAATCATTTTCATTCGACTTAATTTTCAATTTTGTTCTCCGTTTGTCTCAGCTGAATTTGAAGAACTCAAAGCCCAACCCTATCTCCATATTTTTGTATTTATCAACCAACGCTAACATATAAAACTAGAAGGAAGACAACTGCTCCTCATCAACCCAAAGCCATAATCAGGGGCTGATCCAACTTCTTTATTCAGGCTCGATTTTTTTTTTTTGTTGGGGGGGGATAAATAAAGAAGCTTAAGATTGATAAAATTAAGTCAATTTTTTTTTTGAGACGAGGCAAAATGCCCAAAATATTCTAAAATATCCCGTCTAAAATTTTAATTTTTTTTAGGGCGAACATTTACCCCCACTCAATACATGAGGGATTCGCCCATGGCAATAATCAAATGATGTTTGAATTAGACCGTGTTTAAAATTTATTCTAACCTTATTTGAATATTACATGTCCATTGATTGAACCTTATTTGAACTCATTCAAGCTTTGAATGAATAATGTTTGAACCATGCTAAGTGATGTTTGAATCATGTTCAAACATTTTAGAACATTATTCGAGCGATGTTCAAATCTTGCATGAACATTATCCGAACCTTATTCAATGTTATTTGAACATTATGTGAATCAAGAACATTAATTGAATCCCTTCGTTTGGTACTGTGTCTCGGTACTGCTTAGTACCAGTAACGTGGCTACACTTGATTCACCTCTGGAGGTAGAGCTGTGTTCGACGTCTGTACAGAATAATCTCTCCAGTTTGCGACAACTTTCGATCGCTAATTGTTTAGTTTCTTTAAAATAAATTTGATACTTAAAATAGTAAAAAAAGTCTCAAACGAAATCATAATTAATCAATCCTTCTATTTCATACTTATATTACTATTTTTTAAATACCTAACAATAAAGAAAAAAAATTATTTATATCAAAAGCAAAATTAAATCTACAAACTGATAAAATACTCAAAACTAACGGAACCAAGGAGTTTACTATTTATAGGACTGAAACTATTTTTACATTTATATATATATATATTATATAAAATTTCATCTTCGCGGAGAGAGAGAGAGATGAAAGGGAAATCTTTAACCTCCAAATGGTTTTGAGATTGGGGAGCCGTTACATGTACAATGAGCAAGCGAAGAATCCGCCCTTTCAGCCAGATTTGGCTAATTATAAAGCGTCAATCATACGGCAATCCAGAGTTCGTCGGATCATCCGCTCGCTCTCAGCTCGGGCATCGGAAACCCCTATTGTATAATGCATCCAATGATCTCGCAAGTGCTCGAATTACTGTGGAGCTGAGAAACGACGACGACATTATTAAAATCCGCCCCTTCAGCCAGATTTGGCTAATTATAAAGCGTCAATCATACGGCAATCCAGAGTTCGTCGGATCATCCGCTCGCTCTCAGCTCGGGCATCGGAAACCCCTATTGTATAATGCATCCAATGATCTCGCAAGTGCTCGAATTACTGTGGAGCTGAGAAACGACGACGACATTATTAAAGAAGGGAGGAAAGAGTCGCTCTCTGTTCCTGTAAGCCTTTCATTTTGTCTTCGAAGACTTTTTGATCCTCTGCGGCGGCGAAGACACCAGTGGAGCGATTGACGGAGGTAATGGGAATAATTATTGAGAAAGCTTTGGAAATGTTTCGCATGAGGCGGACTTGAGCCTTTGAGTAGAAGTTTATCGTTGATAAAGGTGTGACATTGGAAGTCAAAGGAGTTTTTTTTCTGAGATAAATCATTTAGTAAACGCTACTTTAATTTGTACACGCTGGATTGTTGTATAATTTAATAGGTTATTTGCTTGGAATAATTAGCTTATGACTTGTCTTTTGCGTCTCAGAGGAAGAGAAAGAGGTATTTGGATCTGAAGGGGTTGCTTCTGTGCATAAAGTTTGGAAGCGATTGAGGGACATAATGCTAAGAATTGTGGTGTAAGCTTCTGAAATCTTTTGCAGGAGACGATCCGAGCCTTTGTGCGGAAGTTTATCTTTCAAGAAGGTGTGATCTTGGAGGCTTAAGGAGTTACTTTTCAGAGGTATTTTATTTGCTAAAGACTTCACTTTAATCTGTTGAAACTGAACTGGTTGATTGTTGTATGGTTTAATGGGTTGTTTAGAAAGATAAGTAGTTTTCATACCCGTTATTTGTTTGGAATAATTAGCTTATAGCTTATAAATTTCGCATCGTACAGGAAGAGAAAGATGGCTTTGGATATGGAGGGGCTGCTTTTGAACACAAAGTTGCTTGTGAAATCTGATTATTCCTATGTTGCATCAATTACCCTCTTTGTTGCTCTTCTCTGTGCATGTATTGTTATTGGTCACCTGCTGGAGGAGAATCGCTGGATGAATGAATCAATAACGGCTCTCTTCTTTGTGAGTGTTTTTGTGATGGATTTGTTTTTTCATACTGTTTGGTATCTGAGAATTTGTAATTGAGTGGGTTGCTGTTGATGGCAGGGGCTCATAAGTGGAGTTGTTATTCTTCTTACCACAAAAGGGAAAAGCTCACGTATTCTGGTTTTCAGTGAGGATCTATTCTTCATATATCTGCTTCCGCCAATTATATTTAATGCTGGGTACGCCTTTGTTCTGGTTGTATTTCTTTAATGCATAATGTGAAAAGGTCCTAAATTTATGCTAACATCTAAGAGTGCTTTTTTGGAGAACATCACACTTGATTCATGATGCTTGTTTTAAGCTTCATCAAATATTCTTCAATTTTTTTTTTTATGAATCATCCCTCTATATCTTATAAATGCACTCTTAAAGTTAAATATTGCTAGATCTCTTTTTTTTTTTTTTCAATTCCCAATGAACAACGTGATGTTAGTTTTTCCTTATTTAATATGGTGATCTAACACTTCATTTTTTATTTTGTATTTTAAACTTATCTTAAATAAATGTTTGCTCAAAATCCGGTTCAATTGCTCGTAAATATTTTGGACATATACCTTTAGGAAATTAATATTCTATAAACATGTTATGATCTCTTTTGTACATTACCATCTCGATGTAGATTGTTGAGGGATGTTAAACTTACGTGAATATTGAGGGCGCTTCTTAAGAGATCATCACACTTGATGTATGAGCAAGAATCATCAATCTATTTCAAAATATTTCTATGGGCCTTACATTCGATATCTTATAAACACATTATCCACTGATAAGTATTGTTACTTGTTATATATCAGCTCATTTGTTCTCTTCAATTGCCAATGAACATCATGATCTTGACGACATTATTATGTTCAATTAGTTTGATTTAACACCTTGTTATACTTTTCTCTATTGTACCTACTTTCTTTTTGAAAATGATAGAGTTTTGTCTAGTAATAGAAGTTCTTGAGGATAACCAAAGTGTTCTCAATAATAAATGAAGTCATGAAAAATTCACAAATGATATTCAAAATGAGGTATCTTAGTGAATACTTTTCAAAATGACCATTTTTTTACCGATGAAACCTCTGTTGAAATAAGTGGATAGTTGAGCAATGGATAAACTGTTTACAAGATAATGTTTTAAAGATCAACAAAGATTGGCTTATGATATACAATTCTAAAGAAGTGATATAATAATTATCAATTAATATTATTAGATGGTTAAGTGATACCAACATGTGATAAGTTTAAGTATCTTAAATGTATGTACAAAAAATAGTGATATACTCTATAGAGTTAGAATTAAGAATATCGCGCAATAAAATATATCTTAAAGTTTTAAAGGTAAATTTATAAAATTGCAATTAGGACAACTATGCTTTATTTTTTTGAGTGTTAAGTGGTAAAGCTAAGTATGGTAGAAGTAAGAGTATTAAAATTTACGTTTGAACAAACCAAGAAGTATATATAAACAAATGATTATATCAGAGGTATGGTATGTGTAGCATCTATTTAAGATAAGTTTGTGAAAAATAGACTTAGATTGTTTGTGCATTTGTATAAATGGTGAAAGATGAACTAAATGTAGATAAAACTAATGTAGATTGATAAGACAGAGAACAGGGCCAATCGAAGATAATAGTGAAAAAAATTATTAAAATAATTGCTTAAAACAGATTTAACATCTCATGGAGTACTTAGTAGAAAGAAATGAAAAATGAGAATTCACATGACCAGCCCCAAATAGCTACGATAAGACAAATATGATGATGAAAAAAATTATTTCTCAGAGATATTTCTTTTACGTTTTACCAAAGATAATTATAAATGATAGATCTAGTGTTCTAGATGACAACTTTCTTTTTTTCTAATCTTGGTTTGGGATCTTTTTTTGCAACAGTTTCCAGGTTAAAAAGAAGCAGTTCTTTCGCAACTTCTTGACAATTATGATGTTTGGTGTAGCTGGGACCTTGATATCTTTTACGATAATTTCATTTGGTAAGTCTTTCACACATGCCCTCAAACATTTCTAGACAAAGTTATGAATGGATAAAAGCCTTGCGAAATTTGTTTCCTTGAAGCATGCAAGGTAACTACAATATTGCATAAGAAGTAGGATTGGCATGAAATTTTTTTCTTTAGATTAATTCTTGCGGAATGAGTTTTGATTTAATTTGTTCAAATTCGCTTTCATAGTTTGAGTGATGTTCTTAACTTCATTTTAATTTCAGATATATCTGTATTTTATCTTGTATGTTTTTACTTTAAGTTTTGTATATGCCTGTTGCACTTAATGGTCCAGAGATTAGATAAATAATAATTTGTTAACAATAAAATGAAGTGAAATAGAGATGGTAATGCTAGTTGTGCAGAGCTTTGGGCATTTCGAATGAACTGCATGGTTTTGATATGTTATTCAAGAGCATTATAACATTTTTCATTTAGAAATGGCATAACGTTACAAAAATGCTAGTGCCTTCTTTTTAACCTATTTGTACTTTCAAAATGCTACTACCTTCTTCAAAACCTATGGGTACTTGCTATTACTTGTCAAGCTAACAAGAAATGATCAGAGTCAAAGAAATGCAAATTGATCAAATATATTGTATGCAGATTGTCATCCGATTGATATTGATATAGATTTACAGAGTTTATTTATGTATTTATAGTTTAAATTTATTAGAAAATAGTATTTTTTAATATTATTCCTTATTTTTATAATGATTTTTAGGGGTAGTCTAGATTTTATGTTGTGAGTCTTTTTCTATACATAATATCTTATTCTATGTAAAAACTATGTTGTAATGAATTATTAAAAATTTCTGGAGACCTTTATTTTTTACTTCCTAGTTTTCTTAACTTTAAGATTCAGGAACTAGATCTTTTGAGGAGACAACATCAGTAACCTTAGGATTCTTTGTGTATCTTTTATATTATTTAGCTATGCACTCTTCCTTAATTTAGAATTGGAGCAAAATTTTTATTGTTTTCAACTATTAGCTACAATTTTGTCAAAGTTATGCATTTGTTACCCTCTCTCACCCCTGTCTCTCAATTGGAATATTTTTCTCTAGCCATTTGAATGCAAATTCGAAAGAAGACTTTCCTTGCTCCTGCTGTCTCGCCCATTAAATAAATCCTTCACAAATTGCTCATTAGATTCAAACCAAAAATGTTTTTAGCTTATTCTTTTCCCATTGTTGTTCAAGTTCATAGTATTGTGAACATTAATTGAAACTCCTAAGCTATATACTATCCCATCTCTACACAAACAAAAGGCATGACAGTCTTCTAACCAGAAGCTTTGCTTAAAAAATCAGAGAATTAAGAAATTATAAAAGAAGAAAAGAGAAAACAAAAACTATAAAGGCGTTCTTCTTCCTTTAAATGGTGGACATTTTTTTTATAAGACAATGCATCAAGATTGAAATTTTAATTTTGCATTGGCAAGGTATAATTCTTATCATAAATTATGTATCTTACTTTTGTTAATAGGTAAGTCTAGCATCATGCATAGTTCCTTGTTTTAGGAAACTCCATCAGTCCATCTTATGATTAGACGAGACTCTTCAACTATAATTCACTGGAATTCAGCAGGACTCTGCCTCCATTTTTATGGTTTAATTTTGTTGAATGAAATAATTCTTGATTGAGCCTATAAATATGGAGAACCTTCTATTTTAAAATGTAGCTTACACTTGCTCGTAGACATGATAATTTTTCTATGCATGAGTAATAAGTGATGGAAGGTTCTAGTAGGTACACCTCCATGGCTCTTTGGCTCTATGATCACTAGAAACTCATTCATTGAACAACTTGAACGTGAGAGTGCCAGACAGTCTTATTTCCAACCACATTACCGAAAAAAGCCTAAGATTTTCAAATTGATATCTTGTAAATTGATATGTCACAAAAAAAGCCTTGATCGAGCACAAATCTCAATGCATATTTGAATTGAAAATTTCCAAATTAAATCCGGAGCATCTGAACTTCGATTCTAGCAAACTTATACTCAAATTGAACGTCTTAGCAAGACGAACCCAACAACACCTAAATTGGTCCAGTCTGAGCCCATATGGGCCTAAATCAATGGCTTGAAGCATATTTGGAAGCTTCAGGATATTAATTAGATGATCAAATTATCGCAAAATATGACATGTTTATAGTTGAATCGAATGGCTCGACGAGACGAATCCAATAAGCCCAATATTGCTTAATTCCAACACCATTTAGCCGCATAAACATTGAAAAAATATTTTATGATTTGGGGAATCAATATGGGTCGTCTGATGGAATACTTTAGATCTTCTTCATATTTGAAGGAGCATGTTGCTCCAAAAAATCTATAAAATTGTCCTCCTTCCCTACATGAGGGGAGAAGGCAGGGGTTTTTAAAAAATGATCCGACCTGCCAACCCGACTTGAAAAATTTGGTTCCGGGCTAACACATTCAGTAAACAAGTATGGTTCGGGTCCATAATTTCAACTAGTTTAATAAACGAATCAGTTTCGGGTCTTGAATTATATAGTCTGTTTAATAAATGGGTATGGGTTCGGGTTGACCCCAAACCCAATTTTGACCTGTTTGAATTATTGTTTTTTTTATAATTTTTTTGGTATGATTATCTTATTTTTATTAATTAATCTAAAATCTAAAATTATAATTTTTTTAAAAAAATTAAAACAGGTTATCTGGTCCGGTTTGGGTCTTCGAGTTGCTAACGGGGCGATTTCGAGTTAACCAGATTCGGGTCAAGTCAATTTCTGGTCGAACCCGAATTTGATCCATTGACCCTTTTTGACACCCCTAGGAGGAGGCTTGGAACTTAGGCCAAAGATCAAGAGAGCACTAAGACTTAAAGAATCCCAGAGCCCACTCGAGTACCACCGTTGGTGAAACCATGTAGCTCGGCCACCCTTTGGACTTTCACAGGCCGCTCATCGTGGGATGTTCAGCTGACCATTGCATGCCTGACCACTGTTGTCGAACCTCCGCCCGACCATCTTTATCAGACCTTTTGTCTCTTCGCCACCGTCATCAGACTCTTTCATCGACTTTGGTCCTCAAATTACAGTCTCCCTACTACGGTCTCCCTCTAACCACCATCACTCGACTGCATTTTACTATTTATTCACATATTCATGATCATATTGACTATTACTATTATGTAAATTAACTGATTACATGCATACTGCTTCTTTTCTATGCTTTGAGAGTTAATAATAGGATTTTATTGGCCTACTGAGTTTTTTAGCTTATTATATATATTTTAAATAATTTCAAGTTAGAAAAGAAGATCAGGACTGTGAGACTAATTAGATACAATATTCATTAGGTTTTACTGTCTTTTTTTGTTAGATATTATTTTGTAATAAAAAATGGGTGTATAGTATGTTGTAATTATATGACTCCTGTCTATTGTTTATGATTTTTTGAAAAAATGAATAAAAATGTATATTGATGTTTAAAATTAATAGATTTATTTTCGTCGGTCTTTATTATTGAAATAAATTAGATAGTTCCAATTATTATTATAAAAAGATAAAATATACAATTCTTTCCAATTTAAATTATGGGACATCACACTAGTGATCACCGTCACCCGACTATTGGTCCCTCAACCTCCGTTGCCCGACTACAGTCCCACAGACCTCCATTGCCCGACTACGGTCCCACAGGCCTCCTTCGCCTGACTACGGTCCCATTGACCTCTGTTGCCTAATTACGGTCCTTCCGAAATCCATCGTCTGACTACGGCCCCTCCGACCTCTGTCGCCCGACTACGGTCTCTCTGACCTCCATCGCTCGACTACAGTCCTCCCGACCCAATCAATTGGCCAATATTTTCCTAAGAACAACTCTCATGCTATTGGATTATAGCATGGTAATGTTCTATCTACACTTATCTAATCTTCCAACTAAACGTTTAATTGTTCGTGTGCCTTTTGCATCCAAGACTTCTGGTCATTCAAGTGGTTGCACAGGGAATTTGCAGTGAATTTATGACAGGCGCTAATCTGCTATGTTACTAAATAGATCTGCTAGTGGTTAATTTATTTGGTGTAATAGGCAAATCAGCAGTTTTAAACAGAATACAAGGCAGTTCTAATGTGTTTGAGAGCATCCTCATCAAATGATTTACTTAAATTTCTAGCAGCTGATATTTTCAAAAGGAACAAAATAATATGTATTCTTTCTTGCCAATTATCTGTATCCTTTTTTGCAACCTTCATATTTCTGGCAACCTATGTTTTGGTCTTTTCAGATTATCCTGGATGTATTTTTCTGACTCTTTAAGATTTATTTTCCAGGAGCAATTGGATTATTTAGAAGATTGAATATAGGTTCACTGGATATTGGTGATTATCTTGGTAAAGCTTCTCCTCATATTTTCCATTCTTCTGTATCTCCTTACAATTCTATTTTCTCTTATTATTTTTAAGCTACAAAATCTGCCATTAATTTCTGTTTTTGCCGTGTTTTTTGCAGCAATCGGTGCAATCTTTTCCGCAACAGATTCTGTTTGCACCTTACAGGTTCTAACATCTCAAAACCTATGCTGATTTTCTAGCCAACTTAATATAAATTCACATCATTCAATAATTATTTATTTACTACAGGTGCTCAATCAGGATGAGACACCATTTCTTTATAGCTTGGTCTTTGGTGAGGGTGTTGCCAATGATGCAACGTCAGTAGTGCTCTTCAATGCTATCCAGAAGTTTGATCTTGTTCACTTGGATGCTGTTATTGTTCTTCAGCTTATTGGAAACTTCTTTTATCTATTTGTGACGAGCACCATTCTTGGAGCAGTGGTAAATGTTTTAATTGAGGTGTACTGTCCAATTTAGTGCAGAGTATTACCTTCTATCTTCTAAAAATCTCTTGTATGGCTCATGTATCTTTCTTGTTTTGCAGGCAGGTCTGCTTAGTGCTTATATCATAAAAAAGTTATATTTTGGCAGGTTTGTAAATGAAGAAAAATGCTTATTATTTCTTTTACATGTTTATAGATGGCCAAATGATTCTTAATTTATGTGGACAAAAATTTTTAAATGCTATCTTTGTTGTTCTAAGATTCTTCAAATTTAGGCTTCGTTTGGGATGGCTTTCTTCTTGCTTTCTAAAATAGTTTTTTAAGATTTGAAACTTTTGTACTAGAAAGTTGTTTTAAAAGCAGTACGAAAGCTGTCACAAATGAAACCTTAGTATCAATTGAATACATCACAATCTATCAGTTCTTTATGCTTGAAGTTCTATTGTTACAAAATTTTCTTATACTGCAGACATTCTACTGATCGTGAAGTATCACTTATGATGCTCATGGCTTATCTGTCTTACATGATTGCTCAAGTAAGTTTTTATCTTCATCCCACAAATTTAAATCTGTTGTGCCAGTTCTTTGATGCAGTAACATCAATATTTTCTGCAGCTATTAGATCTAAGCAGTATCCTCACAGTATTCTTTTGTGGGATAGTAATGTCACACTATACTTGGCACAATGTCACAGAAAGTTCTAGAACTACTACAAAGTATGTTTTATATGCGATTTTAATCATCAAAATAGCTTCATTGCATGCTTCCACCTTTTTTCTGGTAATATTTCTGATATATTTACTTTGTCTTGCAAATATGTATATAGGCATGCTTTCGCAACATTGTCATTTATCTCAGAGATATTTCTCTTTCTGTATGTTGGCATGGATGCATTGGACATTGAGAAGTGGCGATTTGTTAGTGACAGGTAAAGCTTGAAACACATCCTCAGGAATCTGTAAAACATTTTTTTGTATGCATCAATCTGATATAATGTTTTGACTCAGTATTCCCTCCTTTAGATCTTTAAATGTGTAGCAGAGCTCCAAGAAATTAAAGCCTTTTGTTTTTATGTATTGAAACCATCATCTATGATTACCTATTCGGTTTTCTTGTTCCTTTCAATCTTATCTTTCTATTCCTTTATTTTCGTTTGTTTGTTTATTGCTTTACCTTCTTTTGCCTTCTAGATATATGATGCTGGAAAAAGTTTGGTGAGGATATCTAGATCCAAATTTAATTAGAATGGGTTTTATAGCTATCATATTTGCTTTGAGATGAGTGCAAGAATAATTAAATAAAATTTATGTTGCACTCATCTCAAAGCAAAATGATGGTTATAAAACCTATCCTGACCAAATTTATGTCATGACATCATGCCAAAAGTTTATCCTACGATGCTTTGTTTAGTTATGATTTGGGTCATTATTTCTAATTCTAAATTTTACTTGAAATTCAAAAGGTCACTTTTTGTTTATTCTGATTGTTTTATTTTTTTTAAGCAGCTATGGACATTTGTGTGTTTGTAATGGTTGCAATTATGTGTAAAATTACTTGTAAAATCGTTGTGAGAGAAGAAGAATTTTGGAAAATTATTCTGGGTAGTTTTTTTCCTCTCAAAAAAGTCGCACAACAAATTTTTTTAGATCCGTCATGTTCAAGCAAATTAGTAGTGAAAAACTCATCACTACATAAAATTTTGAGAAATAGCAATAAAGTTGTAGTAAATAAAAGTGTGGCAGTGGCCTGTAAAGTAAAACTATGAAAATTTTATCCTATGTGCACCTTAAATCTCAATAGATGAGTGGAAGAGTGAAAACTAATTGCGCAGTCAATTGTTGATTTTTTAACTCATCTTTTTAAGATTAGTTTTACTTTTAACTACTCAATTGTTGATTTCAACTCATCATTTTAAGATTAGTATTACTTTTAACAATTCAAATGTTGCTTATTATGTGCGGTTACTAATTTTCATGTCTCCGATTTCATATGCAGCCCTCTAAAACAAGTTAGTTTGAGCTCACTGCTTGTAGGCCTGGTTTTAGTGGGAAGAGCTGCATTTGTTTTCCCACTCTCATTTTTGTCTAACCTTGCCAAAAAGTCTTCCACAGAGAAGATCAACTTCAGACAGCAAGTGCGTTCTAGTCATTTGGGTTGTCTATATTCTTCTCAATTGATCAATCATTAAGCTGATTATCCTTTCTGATTAACAGGTTATAATATGGTGGGCTGGACTCATGAGAGGAGCAGTTTCAATCGCACTTGCATATAACCAGGTAAATTAGCCATGTTTATAAACTAGTGTCATTGAAATTAAAGGGCCATTGCCCTTGCCCAAATAGTTGTCATTTTGAACATGTGTTATCCTTTTATATAGTTGAATTTGTATAGGATTTATTACAATCTCTTAGACAATATGCTTTTATTATTCTCCTCTAAATTGTGAACTAAAGTTTGTTGTCATATTTTAATGGAGTAAATGACCAAAATGATCCTTCTAATTTATAGGTATGCTAATCTTAGTCTTGATTTTTGTAAGGTGTTTAATTTAGTCATTTAACTTGTCATATTTTATTCAATTTGGTCTTACAATCAACTTGGGTAGTTTTTTTGGATGGAAATAGTTGTAGAGGAAGTTTTCATTGATGGCATTTTGGATTTTTTAAGATCAATATTGCTACTTTATATGAACTCAAACTAATGAAATTGATCCTAAAAAGTTCAAAATGAATCATGAAAAGCTCCCCTCCATCAAATTTTGTTCAAAGAAATGATTAGCGGAATCATTGCAACATTTTATAAAGTTGGTTGTGAATTGTTGTGGGGAAAGTAACTTGGCTAATTTTGTTGCAAAAAACAAATTTTTACCATAAAATTTTCTAAAAAGCAGTGAGAAACTAGTAGACAAACGAATATGTGGTTGTTGTTTGAAAAACAAAGTGACAAAAAAACTATCCCAAACAGACCCTAAGTTGACACCATGGTAGATTTGTTTGGGTTTAGTGAGTTACAACAACAACATCAAACTTTGATCCCACTACGTGGGGTCGGCTACATGAATCTTTTTTCTCCATTGATACTATTAAGAGTCAAATTCTTATTTAAATCTAATAAAAAATGTAATTGTGCTTTTTAACCAAGTTTTTTAGGTCTACATCTGCATTTCTTAACATATATAGGCTAGATCTAATACATATATTCTCTTAACTGGGTCATAGGGAGGTTGACGTTTTATGTGACCAAATCATCTAAGGCGACTCTCTCTAATCTTATTTTCCATTGGAGCTACTCCAACCTTTTCACGTATATACTCATTTTACATTTTGTTACTAAGAGTAAAACCACTCATCCACCTGAGAATTCTCATCTCTACAACACTTAACTTGATTTTATGCTTCTCTTTTAATGGCCAACATTATGTGCCATAAAGCATTGCAGGTCTCACCACCATCTTATAGAATTTTTCCTTAAGTTTGGGGGGTACTTTTCTATCACACAACAGGCCCGAAGCATTCCTCCATTTCAATCTTCCAACTTGAATTCTACTAAAAATATTCCCATCTATTTAACCATCACTTTGAACAAAAAACACGAGATGTCTAAAACATGTATTTTTTTTAATGACTTGGTAGTCCAAAGTCACAATCGCCCGACTAGATCTATTACCACTAAAATTGCACTTAATGTATTGATGCAGGACTAATTAGGTGCGATGATTATGTAGTCATTTAGGCATTGCACAACTCTTAGATTAGAATAAATTCCGGAAACAATTACTTAGCAATTCTCAACGAAGATTTGAAACAAATAAGGAAATGATTTGCTTAGGCGAATTTACATGCTCTGAATTTTGAAACTTTCAAGATAAATAAGAACATCACACAACGCAAAAAGTAGGCTTCAAATTAAATCCCTAATCTAACAATGAGACGTAGGATGCATAGAAGATTACACTCAATTCCTACAAGTGACTAGGCTTGGCAAGAGCAATTTAAGACGCTTCCGTGATTACAATCATCCACTGAGAATTTAGATTTGGAAGAAATAAAATGCAAGCGAAAAGGAGAACCTTTGCTTAAGGAGACGTGGAGATTTTCCTCTTGACGTCAACCACCTCAATCCTTGTTGTAGAGAAAGAAGTTTCTCCAATGAAGGAATTTAATTGATTCATAAGAAGCTTGTTAATTACTCTCCGCTAAAGCCTAGAAGTTGGAAGAGTTGAGTGAGGGATCATCTTGTAGTGACTAGTCATATTGTTAGTGGAGGGATTCATTGTTGAAACCTACCTTGCATGCAATGTTAAGAGTAATTGATTACTTTTGTGGTTTTAACTTTATGTATGTGACTTGGCCTAAACTTATGACACCACTCTCGTGTTTTATCTCGTCGATGTTCTCTAGATCAAGCGTGCAAGTTCCCAATTCACCATCCATTCACATATGTTTCACATCAATTTACCCTTAAGTTAGGGGGGTACTTTTCTAACACACAACATGCCCAAAGCAATCATCCACTTCAATCTTCCAACTTGAATTCTACTAATAATTTCTTTGAACAATAAACCCGAGATATCTAAAACATGTATTCTTTTTAATGACTTGATTGCCCGAAGTCATAATCGCTCCACTAGATCTATTACTACTAAAATTACACTCCATGTATTTGGTTTTAGATCTACTCAAATGAAAATCTTTAGACTCTAAGGTTGACCTCCATCCTTTAACTCTCTCTCTAGTCTTATCAACAAGAAGAATATCATCAACAAAAAACATACACTAGCATACATCCTCTTACAAAAGAGAACATCCATGACTTAAGCAAAAAGATATGGCTTAAAGCTCATTTTTGATGTAATCCAACTAAAATAGGAAAATACTTGGTCAAACCACCATGTTTTTTAACACAAGTAGCAACGCTTATGTACATATCCTTAATGAATTGAATATAAGCATTATTAACTCATTTCTTTTCTAGAGGTCTCCAAAGTACTTCTCTTGGAACTTTTTCATATGTTTTCTCTAAATCAATAAATATCATATGTAGATCCTCTTTATTCTCTCTATACTTCTCCATCAAACCTCTCAATAAATGTATAAATTCCATGATAGATCACCTGGCATGAATCCAAATTGATTTTGAGAAACATTAATATCATGTCATAATCTATACTCAATTACTCACACCCATAATTTTAATGTATGACACATTAACTTAATTCATCTATAATTCGCACACTCTTGTGCATCACCTTATTCTTAAAAATAAGAACAAACACACTCTCTCTACTCATCTAGCATCTTTTTAGCCTTCAAAATAATATTAAAAAGTTTAGTAAGCCAAGAAATTCCTTTATCTCATAAGCATTTCCAAAACGCTATTGAAATATCATTAGGTCTGCCTGTTTTTTACCTCTAACTTTAGTTTTACTAATATGATGATAAAAACAAAAATATCTTTTTTTAATTTAGGGTGCTAATATCACTAAATTCTATCGCCACAATTTTCATTGAAAAGCTTATTAAAATATCTTATCCATTTATGTTGAATATCATATTCTAATAGAAATATTTTTTTTATCTTTATCCTTATTGTACTTTATTTGAACTAGATTCTTACTTCTCATGCCCCTTTGCTCGGCTACCTTTACATATTTCACCCTTCTTAGTATTTAATTTATTATAGAAATCATTTAAAGTTAAATTATTTGCATCGCATATTGCTTTCTTAGACTCCTTACAAGCCCCTATATATCATTCATAATTTTTCGAGCTTTTACATTTAAACCAATTATCATAGTAAAATTTTTTATTTTTTAATCTTTTCTTGCACATTTTGATTCTCTTATTAAATGTTTTTACTATAAGGAGCTTTTCTTTTTTGATACTTCATGTAAAACTTTATGACATTCTTAATATCATTAGTTACTTTTTTCCACATAACATTAGCTTTTTCATGCACAACAAAATCCTGAGATCTTGAATCTTACTCTCAAATATATTTTTGTTAGCATTCTTTAAATACCATTATCTAATCTTAGGGCAACATTTTACGTTATTTTTCAAATTCTACCCCTTAATCTTAAAGTTCAAAATTAATAAGTGATGTTGTGTACATGAACTTTCACTCAAAATGACTTCACAATCATTGCATTATAAACGATTTATTTTTCTTCGAAGGAAAATAGTAATCTGAGTTTTATTATATTCATTCTTATAAATGATGAGATGCTCATCTTTTTCTTAAATAAGGTATTAATAGTTACAAAATCATAAGCTAGAGTAAAATCTAATATGGTCATACCATATTTATTAATCGCTCTAAATCTGTAGGCAACATGAATTATTTTGAAATCATCCACCACCCTGTTGACATGTACATTTAAATCACCCCAATAAAAACTCTTTTTTTAAGAGGTATTATTTGTATTAATTTTTTTAAGTCATTTCAAAATTTTAATTTTGAACACCCATACAAACCTACTTAAAAGAGATAAGCACTAATAATATTAATAATCTTAACATTGATAATTTTAATTTTGAATACCTATCCAAACCTACTTAAAAGAGATAAGCACTAATAATATTAATAATCGTAACATTGACAACAATCTTTAAAATTATAATTATATATTCAATTTTATTAATTTCTATAAATTATCCTTCAAACACTTATTTATAATTACATTTACTCCATTTCTAGTATAAACCCTACCTGCATACAATAGTTTAAATTCTAAACACATACAGTAGTTTAAATTCTAAACAATCAATCTCCTTAGTCTTCTCTTTGTCATATAAATCATAATATCTATTAATTATATTATTTTGTCTCTAAGAGAATATATATTCCAAATTTTTATCATAATTTTAGTTTCATGAACTATCTTTTCCCACATTCATCTATAATTTGGGTACCCTTACTTATTTAACACTGCACCTGAAAGGCCATGCAACGGCTCTTACACACTTCTTATTATATTCAAGTCATACAGTGCATCTCTTCTACATAACACCTTAACATTAACATAATTTGGGTTTAGTGAGTTGATGGACTAATTTGAATACTTTAAAAAACTTGAGACTAAAAATAGACAAACCTAAAAAGCCTATGGTCCATTTTGATCCTTACTTTTCTATTTGCATGCTTTATTCAATTGTAACATCATCTCTTAGAAGATCATCTAACTGGCAAATAGCCAAGGATCGTGTATTACTATAATTTTATTTTAAGTTTTAGGCTTCGTTTGGGACGGCTTTCTTTCTGCTCCTTAAAGCAGCTTCCTAGTACAAAAATTAAAAAATTTGTGCTAGGAAGTTGCTTTAAAAAGCAATAAGAAAACCGTTCCAAACAAAGCCTTAGTCTCCTTTTCTGTTGATTTGTACCAAGGCAATCAGTTAACTGATTCCTCTTAGCTTTATGAGCAAAACACTAGTAACGGAGAAAACCTGTCATTTGAATCTTGTAGACAATATCAGTTTTTGGATAACTAACTCTCACTTACAGTATATTCTTGTATTGTATTTAACTTGCTATCCTATCTCTTTAAGATATTGTTCAAATTTCCTGATAATGGGATGTGATGATAAATGCAGTTCACAAGAGCAGGCCACACACAGCTGCGAAGCAATGCTATCATGATCACCAGTACTATCACTGTTGTTCTGTTTAGTACTGTGGTAAGAGCTTTAACTTCCTGAACATTCAGTTCCTTATATCTTTTTGGCTTTTATTTATCATAAAAACTTATTTCATCTCAATTAATGCAAATAATTAGAAGGTTAGTTAATGAAATAGATAAATACTGTAGCCAATGGCACCATTATGGTATGGAGCCTTGTCTTTATATTGCAAGGAGTACTTTTGTTCTTCTTTTTTTTTCCTTGAGAATTTCATATTTATAACCCTCCTCAATTTAGTTTATTTACTTCCTATGGAATATCAAAACTCGAAAAGAATGAATCTTTACATTGGCATGTGATTATTTGGTGATTTTGTATTGTTTTTGTTAAGCTGTGAAAGCTAATTAATGCTCTATGAAGAAACATCTCGTATCGGTTTTGTTGAGCTACCACCATCGGCCACCTTCGCCATCGACCGTTGCTAATCACCATCTTCGCCACCCACTATTGATCTCCTCCGCCACCACTAACTGATCGCCACCATCTTTAGACTTTATACTACATTCATTTTATTTTATAAAAAAAAAAAAAAAAAAACATTCACTTGAATTTACTTTACACTTATCCAAAGTCATCCTTTTACATTAAATTCCATTTATGCTCCATTTCTTTTTTAGCCAACCAAATAACCTCTAAATAATGTGGTTATTTAAAGATTCATTATTGTTTTGTTATATTGTAGAACCTAAGTAATATCCTACAAAAATAATATCTTATTCAGAGGCAATACACTGATCAATCTTATAATAAAAAATATATTAAAAACAAAAAGAATGCCTAAAATAGTTGAGGTTCCATTTGGTACATGTTTTTATCACTATTTTTCATTGCTTTCAATAAATTTTTATATTAAAAAACAACTTCAAAAAACAATAAGAAACAATCCCAAACAAAAACTAAGTTTTCTCTCTTAAAACTTCACCATCATCATCTTAATGAAAACTTCAGCAGTATAAACAGAAAATAATCAACAATTAGACGAATCCATTAAAGTTTCTTGCTGATTTGTTAACACTTCGCAGGTGTTTGGCTTACTCACAAAGCCTCTAATCAGGCTTCTTCTTCCTCATCCACCAAAGCATTTGAGCAGCATGTCTTCGGATCCCTTAAGTCCAAAATCCTTCCTTTCCCGGCTTCTTGAAAGTGGCCAGGGATCTGAGATTGAAGCAGCAGGAGATTGTATTATTGGGCTACCGAATCTTCGCATGCTCCTCGCCAAGCCCTACGTATCAGTACATCACCATTGGCGCAGATTTGATGATTCGTTCATGCGGCCAGTTTTTGGAGGCAGAGGCTTTGTTCCTTTTGTTCTTGGTTCGCCAACTGAGAGAACTTACCTGACTGAAACAAGCATTAATGAATAGTAATGGATCAGATGCTCAGTAAGAAACATAGTTGTTGTGTTTTTTCCCTTTTTTGTGTGAATATTACATGAATTTTTACTTGTAATTGTTAAATTTGTGTGTGATTTTTATAGAGAGAGAGAAAGTGAGATAGAGAGATAAAAATAGTCCATGAACTATTTATATTGGTCTATAAATGTGATTCAATGCCAAACCCACAAATTTTAAGTTTAATATAAACAAAATTCAATAGGGGCATTTCATTCTCTCTTTTGGTCTAATTTGGTTATGAATTCTATATGTTTTAGGTATTTTGATTTTGCACAAAGTTTATAGAAAGATATTTTTAGATGTCTAAATTTTGCATGGCAACACATATAGAGGATTAAAAAAAAATTTGATAATGAGCAAAATAAAAAAAGAAGTCGAACAAATATTGATTCATAAGAAAACTTAAAAACTAATTTAGAAAATCTTTAATTGAATCATAGATTACATATATCTATTTTAAAAGTTAGTCTTAACATTATAAATGTCATGTCTTTAGTTCAAATATCTAAAATCGGGTTATAATATATGAGGGATAACAAGTGTGGTGTCTTCATTAATAAAGTAACATAATTTTATGATCAACGTAAAAATTACTTCAAATCTAAACGATAAATGGGTTGTTCGTAGACGCCTATGACGTAGACTTCAAGAAATGATAAATTTACATTATTTTCGAGTTGAGATATTCTACACAGTTATTGATATGCAATTTTAGGAATTAAGTAATTGTTTCATAGAGGTAAATATTGAATTACTTTTTGTATTATTTGATTGAATCTATCTAATTCATTATGTACATTTAACAAAGACAAATTAATTAGAATGACAAACTTATATCCAATTGATTTCACTCCTTGAGATTTGATGATTCTTTATAATCAGTTGGAAACTTATATCTTGAATATGCGGTATGATATATAATTTTCATTGTTAAAGAATTTGGAAGTTTTGTTGAAAAAATTAGTCAGAGCATAAATGAAATATTATATTCCCTTATTCTTAGGTTATTAAAGCTGACATTATTATTGCTTGTTACAATAACAAGAGTTGAAAAGAGCATTTTCTGTAATGATTATCATAAAAAATTGACTATAAAATTTAATTGGAGATCAGTTGATGAATAATATCTTAGTCGCTTATATTAAAAGAGAAATACTAGATTGTATTGATAATTATATTAGTATTCAACTTTTTCATAATATAAAGAGCAAATGCTGTAAATTGTAAATGTTTTTTATATTATATTTAGTAGTTTATATTTAAAAAAAATTTAAATTACCGATGCCTGTCCCAAGCTGAATGAAAAAAATTGAGAAAATAAAAAAAATAAATAACTCCCCCTCTATAAAAAGTTTTTGGCTTTGCCACTGCATGTTTTCAAGAACCAATTATATCACAAGTAATTTTGATTAGGTGGCTATATCAGAAGTTGTCATTTCCTGCTCGTTGGCATATCATATCATATCAATCTGTCTTATTATGTCTCCTTTTCATATCATATTGGATTACATAATAATTCTTTTTTTAAAGAATAGCTCATCGGCCCAACCTCTAATTAACATGTCTCAAGCTAATCTGAATCAGTCAATCATTCATGCTAACCTTTTTTACATACATATATTTTATAGCATATATATAATATAATAAACATCTAATACCTCGCTCATTAATATATGAACAAAAAATAGTAGAATTTATAATACAATATAATGTGCTCTTTTTCACGCGGGCGCGTGTATGTATAACCACATTAGATAAATTATTCATATGAAGATATTTTTATAATTATTTATACAATTATCCTATTTATGTAAATTTCTCGAATTTGAAAATTTTCTCAAAAATATAAAAATATCAAGTGAAAATTTAATATATTCCTATCAATATGTGTAGAATAATCAATTAAAATTATAACATATTAAAAGTTACATGGTGAAAATTTGCTAAAAATAAAGATATTATAATTGTTATAAATTTTGACTAAATTAAATTTATAAAACATAAATACACGAAATTATTGAAATTAGAGATAGAGTAATGATAGACTATCTCAAGACGAGCAAATTTCCCAACTAGACTGGGTAGCTTTAAGACCTTCAAACCAAGCTTTTTATCTCCTCGTCTCTCTCTTTTTCTTCTCAAATTTTCTATTCTATTCTTTAGCTTTAGGAATGAGGAAAATGAAAAAATATAGTGGCTTTTGATGAGATCAGATTTGATGGGTCAAATAAGCGGAATTTAGTTTTTTTTTTTTTTTGTATAAATTAATATAAGGTTATTTTGGTTATTATGATAATTATTTAATGTTTATTTTAAAATTCATATAAATTATTTTATATCTTAAAATCTCGAGAAAAAAAAATTAAAATAAATTCATAAAATAGTCTTACATGCCTATAAGGCTCCAGTGAAATTTGTTTGCAAAACGGACACCTAATGATCTAAAAAACTCATTGTATTGACATATATCAATTTCTTAAGAAAGCACAATTAATTAAAAAATCTTCTTGTTTTTATATCTACAATGCTCATAAAATTAGAAAAATATTATTACAATTATAGCCCAAAAACATATATGTTATGAACATTTAAATATATAGATGTTAACCTTACCTTGAAAGATATCAAATTTGAGTATTTTAGGGCATCTCCAACGGAGAACTCCACTTTTCACGGCATAATACAACAAAACTCCAAAATTACTCAAATCTACCACTCATATATCAAAATATCCTCTCCAATTTAAAATTATGGCAAATGCCCACCCTAAAAAAATTATAGTTTTTAAATTTTAGAGAGGATATTTTGAAATATTTTGGATATTTTGTCCCCTCTAAAAAATTTTTTTTTACCATAATTTTATCAATTGTAAGCATTTTTACCCATCCCCCACCAAAAAAAATTTTTTTGCCCACCCTGAAAAGCATTGGATCCGCCCTTGCATACACACCACCATATATTATTTTAATATCAAATATGCCACTCATATTTCCTTTCTATCACTAATATATTTCATTTATACAACTCATATTTGATATATAAATAAAATATGTATGTAATATTAAAATTTTAGATGTTAAATATGTAAATAAAATAATATAGAATGATATGTATGTAAATCTCCCCAATGAATATCTATTTTTTTAGTCTAATTTTTAGGTGACGTATAAAATCAAATTTCTGCTGCGCATATACAGTTAAATTTCCCTAAACCGTGAGCGGCGGCGTCCCGCCCTCTTCTGAAACCCTGCGACGTGCGTCCGCTCTTCCGGTGCCGTCGTGCGCCTCTAGCCTTCTTCCGATGCCGAAAAGAGCTACCCAAAAACCCTCGCTGTCAAGACAGCCTGTTGCAGCTGTCGTGGATCTAAAATCTATAATCCATGAACACTCTCTTTTCTTCGATCGCCTCGTCGACTTGATTCCCGCCCGGTTCTACGTCCCTGCCCCCGACAGCGACGAAAGGCCGTGGTTCCATGGCCTCAGTAAGTCGGCGAAGTCCAGCGCCAAGAAAGAGTCCCGCGAGAACATCAAGAAAGCTCGACGTGCCCGCTACGATCCGGAGAGAACCGCATCCACACTCGATCTTCTCAAAAAAACCATCGACGACGAGAAGAAATCGCTGGCCGCTTTAGATGAAGAAAATCCTATCTCCGACGGTGACAGCGGCAGCGATCACGAGGCCGAGGTGGAGGACCCTCGCCCTGTCGTTTCCGGCAACCGGTCAGTCACGTACGAGGAACTTCGTCATCGTCTCCATCGACGGATCGAAGAGCTCCGTGGAAATCGCAACACTCGGACGTATGATATCCCCAAGGGAGAGAAGAGAGATAAGAGGAAAAAGAGTAAGATGCAGAATAGTAAAGGAGGGGATGCTTCTCAAGGTAAGCGGAAGAGAGATGAGGCGTCTGGGAAGGATAGCCATGATGATGCTATGAAAAAAAAGGAGAACAAGAGCGCAAAGTTAGATGACATCTCTTACGGTCAGGTAAAGTTAGCGGGGGTGGAGGAGAGGGGAAGGAAAAAGAGGAAATTTTCAAAGCAGCAAGAGCTTGACAAGGCTAAAAAATTGGAGGAGGCTAAGAAGGATCCTGAGAAAGGGAAGACGATTGCTGAGAAGCATTTGTGGAGGGCAGCGATGAGTAGGGCTGTGGGGGAGAAGATTCATGATGACCCCAAAGTGCTGCGGCAGAGCTTAAAGAAGGAGCAGAAGAGGCATAAAAAACATGCGGAGAAGTGGAAGGATAGGATTGGGAGTCAGAATAAGGCTAGAGAGGAGAAACAGAAGACTAGGACTGAGAATATAAGGGAGAGGATTCAACAAAAGAAGATGAGGAGGATTGAGAAGAGAGAGAAGAAGCTCATGCGTCCAGGATTTGAGGGCCGCAAGGATGGGTATATCAATGAGTGAGGTGTGCCATTCCTCCGCATTTTGTCTTGTAAGAGTGTTTAAGTTTAAGACGCTAAATTTGGTTAGGGAATATTTGTCAACCAGATTGCTTATTGTATCATAGTCTTCTTTATGTTGGTATTTTGCAGTTGCGCAGCTTTATTATTTTGAAATCTATGGCGTTTTTGTTGCTACTGTTTATGGCCTCCAATCATAATTCTATATTCATTGTTTTTTGGTCAATAGGCCAGTGGAATTACTTACCTTTTTTTTTTTTTTTGCGTAAGCTTATTATTTATTGTGAGAGGTGTGGTGCTAATGATTTTTGAAAATCTTTAGATTTTATCTTCATTAAAGCAAAAATATATGGGCTTAAAGGTGATCCTTGATGTAATCCAACTGAAATAGGAAACTATTTGGTCAAACCACCTTGTATTTGAACACAAATAATAGTTTCTACATACATATCCTTAATGACTAGATATTTGTAAGAGGATGTACCTTAGTGTATGTTTTTTTGTTGATAAGATTAAAGAGGGAGTTGAAGGTAAACTTGAATTATGGATTTTCGTTTGAGTAAATCTAAAACTGAATACATGGAATATAATTTTAGTAGTTATAGATCTAGTAGGAGGATTGTGACTTTGGGCGATCAAGTCATTAAGAAAGAAAGCAGTACATTACCCGAAGCTCTGACAAAGATATCTATCACTTGTTATGAATTTAAAATATGCAGGGTACCAATCTTCTCTGAAAGAACAACATCCAATAAGAAATGAAAATCAGCTCCTATATATTTAGTTAATCCATAAAAAAAGAGGATTGCTAGCAATATAGATGCGACACGATTGAAATGATATAGAGAAAGAATAAAATTAAGTTAAGTGTTGCAGAGATGAGGATGCTCAGGTAGATGAGTGGCTTCACCCTTGTAGACGGAATGCAAAATGAGTATATACTGGAAGAGGATGGAGTAGCTCCAGTGTCATGTAAGATTAGAGAGAGTCAGCTTAGATTGTTAATCATATAAAATGTTGGCCCCTTGATGACCTGTTTAGGAGAGTATATGTATTATATTTGACCTATGTTAAGAAAGATAGAGGTAGACCTAAAAAGACTTTGTTAGAAAATATTAGAAATGACTTTTTTAATTTGATTTGAATGAAAATTTGTCTCTTAATAGTACATAATGGAGAAAAAATGATTCATGTAGTTGACCCCACATATTGAGACAGATGCTTGATCTTGTTGTTGTTATATGATGTGAAATATATTGCGCTAGGTGGGATTGTGTGTCCCGTAGGTTGAAGCTGTTCAAATGGCTCAATCATGTATGAAAATGCAAATTGCTGATGAATATTTTTGAAATAACTGAATGGGAGACTTGGGCCTTTTCAGAGCCTCTGATGCCAACAATGTTTTCAAACGAATGGCATATGACAGTAGAGCTGCTGAATTTGTAGTATCTCTTACAATTAGTTAGTTGTAAGTGGATGCGTTTTCTTAATTATGCAAGGCTGGTTGAATTTACCCTCAACCTTAGTTTTACCTTTATAAGATTTCAGCGATCAGTAAGTCTACATTTGTTCTCATGATTCTTAAAGCTTTTATGTAAAATTGCTGCCGTGTTATATGACATATTTGCATATGCAATTAACCTTATCGTGAGTGGCATCTGAAACATATAGATGCTGAGTATTTTGGTATTTCTAACAACCAATCAGTTATAATTTGAATATGTTTTCTCTGCTACCCAGTGCAGGATGAACTTAATCGTTTTTAATTTTAACTGAATAATTTTTATCTTCTTGGTCTTGAAAAGTATTTGTACCAATCTTTAAATGGGGCTTAAAACTTTGTCATCCTCATCTTTAAGCTGTTTATTAAATCAAAGAAAGATATCACTCATCATCTATTTATTTTACCCTAACATCTCACCTCTTCCCTTATTCACTACCTTATTGTTGATTGATCCTTAAATTGCATCTCACTCCTCTCTGAATTTTCCACCAATATTTTTCTTGAACCTTGAATCACATGTTGCCCCTGTCCAGCCATTACGCTTTGTGTCTTTGAATGATTTGACCATTCATTCCTCCCTCTTTCAGTTGATCACCATTCTTTGTTCTTCTGGTAAGTTTTCACCTGTGTTGTCACTATACTCTATTAACACCCATTTAAACCCTACCTTTCTTGCCATTGTTTCCCCTTGTAGCTATCATCCTTGCCTCCTTCACCTTATGCCATAATATTGTGGCCTCTCCCATCAGGCACGTGTTCCTAATCTTGTTATCTGCATAATTGACATTTATTTAATTTTAGAAATAATTGATTGTCCACTAGACATTGAAACACAATTTGAATATGATCATAATTAAGCTCGAAATTGTTACTGTATATGAGATTATCAACAAAGAAAATGATAATAAATTTGTAAAGACATGCACAAAAAACTTGATTCATTAAAGGTTGGAAAGCAGAATAAGCATTAGTTAGGCCAAATAGTATAACTAAAAATTCAAAATGACCAGTAGGGTTCAGAAAGCAAATTTATGTATATCCTTTGGGCACATTCGAACTTGATGATATCTCGAATGGTGATTAAGTTTGGAGAAAAGAGAGGCTCCAAGTAATTCATCTAAAAGTTCATCGATTATTGGAATAAAAAAATTATCTTTAATAGTCAAGGCGTTTAGGCTTGATAATCGATGCAAAAATGCCAAGTACCATCCATTTTTTGACAAGCAGAACCAGATTGGAAAAGGGTTATGATTGTGACAAATGCTGCTAGATTGAAACATATCTTGGACCAATTATTCCATAGCATCTTTTTGAAATGCGGATAATGATAGGGTCAGATATTAATTGGTTTGGATAAGGATAGAAGATTAATGGGATGATCAATTGGATGTAGAGGGGGGTAACCCTTATGGTGTTTGTTATATGTGTCTAAAAGTATTTTCCTATTTTGGTTGGATTACATCAAGAATCAACCTTAAGCCCATATCTTTTTGCTTTAGTCATGGATGTTCTCACTAGACATTTGCAAGAGCATGTACCTTGGTGTATGCTTTTTGCTAATGATATTCTTCTGGTTGATAAGACTAGAGAGGGAGTTGGAGGTAAACTTGAATTATGGAGGTCAACCTTAAAGTCTAAAGGTTTTCGCTTGAATAGATCTAAAACTGAATATATGGAGTGTAATTTTAGTAGTAATAGGCCTAGTGAGGGGATTGTGACTTTGGGCGATCAAGTTATTAATAAGAGTAAATGTTTTATATATCTTGGATCTATTGTTCAGAGTGATGGTGAAATAGATGGGGATATTATCAACATAATTCAAGTTGGATGGTTGAAGTGGAGGAATGCATCGGGCTTGTTGTGTGATAGAAAAGCCCCCCTCAAACTTAAGGGAAAATTCTATAAGATGGTGGTGGGACCTGTAATGCTTTATGGTGCTAAATGTTGGCCATTAAAAGAGAAGCATAATAGATAATACTAAGTTAAGTGTTGCAGAGATGAGGATGCTCAAGTGGATGAGTGACTTTACCTTTAGAGATAGGATACAAAATGAGCATATACGTGAAAAGGTTGGAGTGTAGCTCCAGTGGAAGATAAGATTAGAGAGAGTCGCCTTAGATGGTTTGGTCACATATAACGGCGGCCTTCCGATGACCCAGCTAGGAAATTTGAGGTATTAGATTTGACTTATATTAAGAAAGATAGAGGTAGACCTAAAAAGACTTGGTTAGAAAATATTTGAAATGATGTTTCTTTATTAGATTTAAACGAGAATTTGACTTTTAACATGACACAATGTAGAAAAAGGATTCTTGTAGCCGACCCCACGTAGTGGGGCAATGGCTTGATGTTGTTATATTAAATTGGAAATAAAATAAGGTAAAGTATTAGTGATGGAGGAAAAGGCTGGCATCTAATGTATTATCAGTTGAAAGAGTATCATTATTTAGGGAGTTGATTGAATAGTGAAGATTTTTATCGATGGGGAATGTGACATTAATGCATGAAATTGATGAGAAGATATTGAATCGGCTAATAATTGGGGCTCCTTTGATGATGTAATTTGGTGATTGTGATTAGAAAGTTGCATAGTAAGATCGTGATAATTGTGGTGGACGGAACCTATGATTGAAGATGTTGCATTCTTAACACAATATTGATGCTTGAATGACAGGGACAAATAGGTCTAAAAGAACTTGGTATATTTGCATCATAACATTGACTGGAGAGCATTTGGAGTTGCATACTAATAAATTATCATTGCCAGCCAAAACTTCAAATAGTTTAATGGATTGTGGTTGAAGATCAATTTGATGAATAAGATGGTAAATAAAATTATGGGTACTGCCACTATCAATTTAGATATGAACATCATGATGATTTGTGGATCTGGTTAAACGAGAGGAGTGTGATTGAATTGACTGGCTAAGGCATTGAGGTTGATTTCAGGAGATAATTCTTGTGTCTCAAGATTGTGAGTAGGAGATATAGTTTCATTTGATGGTTCTTGATCATCAGTGCCAAGCAAAAGATAAAATTTATTGGGGCATTAGCGTTGGGGACCAAATTTAGCTCCACAATTAAAAGAAAAGCCATTTTCTTAACAAAATTGAATTTGAGCTTGTGTAAGTTTCTTAATAGGAAGAGTAGACGCTTTAGTAGGAAGAATAAGAGGAGGCATAAAGGTTGAAGGTGAAGGGCCTAAAGAGGTATGAGTGGTAGTTGGTTTATTTTTGCCGATTGAAAAAGTTGTGACAATGGGTTAGTTACCTCACATCTAAAGTAGTAACATGTTTAGCTTGATGTGTAAACGAGTCGAGTCAAGCTCAATTCATACTTAACTCAAGCTCGGCTTGTCGGTCAAATCACGAGCTCGAACTCGAGCTCGATTTGAGCTCAAATAGCGTTTTTTTTTTTCTGCTCGACTCGTGACAATGGATGCGGGCTCGCGGGACAGCTTGCAGGTGTTAGAAGAACAGGCCGACATTCCCTTCCGCTTTC